GCAGGCATGCAGTAACACCTCCCCCCATCTTCCACTGGTGACCCAGGCACTTGGCCACAACCCCACCCCTGAGCACCCCAAAGCTGGCCACCTCCCTCCATCGTCAGCACCTCACCTGTGCCACCACCAGCACTGTAACTGTTATCTGCAGCCTGGGTCCTGTGGGGACTCGCTGCCCACACCCCTCCCGGTCTCCCGCCACCCATCTCCACCCGAAGCCAGTGTCCTGTACATACAGCAGTCGGCTGTGTCCTTCTCCAGCTTCAGGCTGTCACTGTCCACCCCCAGGCCCTCCCTTCCCCTACTCAGCCTCCTCTGTGCCTCCTGCACCTGCGCCTCCCCTGCTGGCTGCCCCACTCAGGTCCCTCAGCCAGGCAAGGCTGGGGTGAGATGGAAAAGCCCCTTCCTGCCTCCCCTCCTCCCCACACACCACCAGCACCAAAGGGTCTGATCATAGGTGATTCACTGTACAACTCTTCAACTTTATGATGTTTAGAAGAGAAAAAAAAAAGTGTAAAAGCAACACACAAACCCAGGCACAGTGGCACACACCTGTGATCCCAGTACTCAGGAGGCTGAGGCAGGAGGATCACAAGTTCACACTCAGCTTGGGCAGTTTTGCAGTTTAGTGAGAGCTGTCTCACAAAAAAATTCTTTTTTTTGTTTTGGTACCAGGGATCAAACTCGGGACGTTGTGCTTGTGAGGCAGGCGGCAGCACCATTGAGCTAAATCCCTGGCACAAAAATGGCTTTCTTGTTTTTGTCCTTTTGAGACAGGGTCTCAATTTGTAATTCATGCTGGCCTTGAACACACTATGTAGCTCAGGCCGGCCCCAGACCCGTGGCCATCCTCCTACCTCAGCCTCCAAGTGCTGGGATCACAGGCGTGCGCCACCGTGCCTGGCTCTCTTCTGCTTATTCATGTTTTGCAGCATTCTGCTTAGTTCTGCTAGCTGTCTGTTATTTCTTCTGTAGAATCGCTGATCATTTTGTTTATTTGGCCCATTTTCTGTTGAGTTATATCCCCTGTGAACTCGCCAAGCACCTTATCGATCTGTTTTGTTGTTTCCTTTGTTAACCCTGTGAATAATTCTGTTCTGTGACTTTTTGTTCCCTCCTGGCAGTGCCCCGTGGATCAGCTTTGAGGGGGCAGAGAGTTTTTTGTTGCTCTGTTTTCTCATGTTTTTTTTTGGGGGGGTAGTGGGTCTGTATCTTGCCGAGGCTTGCAGGATGACTGTAGTAGCCAGCTTCTTCACTGGAAAGGAGACCTCTTTAGTTAATATCAACTTTTCAGTGACACCTCTGGAAGTGGGTAACTACTTGCCTTTGCCTCCATCCCCAGATCCAACCACCTGCGTTCACCTGGGTTGGCCCAGTGCTCCAGATGTTGGGTGCAGAGTCGTTAGTGACCCCAGGTCGGCCCAGCAACAGCTGTGTCATCTTGGCTACGGCAACAAAATCGGCAACAGTCACATCAGAGACAAACCGGATATGGACAAACTCGAAGGACTCATAGTGTTCCAACCTTCACCATAGAAAAGGGATCTATAGTTACAGTGTGAAAGTTAAGACAAAAAAATACTGGCCCTACAGTAAATACAGTGATACCCTAGCTCATGAACACTTTTCGTTTTTCTTTTTGGTTTTTACTTTGTGGATGATTTATTCAAATATTTAAGAAGGAAATACTAATATGTTAAATCTTTCACATACTGAAAAAGTTGAAACTCTTCCATACACACACACACACACACACACACACACACACACACACACATAATTATATTTTAAATGTGGTTATTTTAAAAAATTGATTTTATTGGTACACTTAGATATACATAATGATTGTATGCATCATAGGGAATTTGTAGCTGCACATAGTTATGGAGAGCATTGTAAAGGAACACGACATGAGCGCAGCCATATTGACCTGTGATTCACCCGAGCGTGCTGTCGCCCATGGCAGCGGGCTAGTTCAGCTGGTGGTCTGATCTATTGCCTAGCAGATGTAACCCGTAATGGTTGTTATTGTTTCCCTCTGGAATGTGTGGGCGGTACTCTCGCTCCCGTGCAGCGGGAGAGTATAAAAGGGAAAGGTTCGATAATAAAGCGAGCAAGGAACTTGAGAAGAAAGGTGTCTCCCATCTCTCTGTCCTCGTCCTTTCAGGTTTAGGACCTGCTGGCAGGATCCTGACGTCGCGGCTCGCGACACATAATATATCTTGATTTTTCTTTTTTTCCCCAATTCCGTCCCCTCCTTTATGAACCCCTTTTTTTTTGTTTTGTTTTGGGTACCGGGGATCGAACTCCAGTCCTTGCGCTTGCCCAGCAGGCGGCAGAACCACTGAACTAAATCCCCGGCCCTATGAACACTTTTATTTGCAAACAAATCGGTTCACAGACACAAGTGTTTGGCAAAATTTTGTTTTTGTTTGCCAACTCTGCATCAGGCGACAAACACAACTGTAGCCATGTTTCCCACTCAAACGCGGCCGTGTTTTCCAAAACCGAAGGACAAATTAAGTTGTGAACTGAAGTCCTGTATCTGCTAAAGGGAACGTTGCCTCCTGTAATGATAAAACAGTATTCAATAATAATAGCCTGAAGTTAGGTGTCTAGAGAGTTTTAATTTAAGAAATGTAGAAGGAATAGGGAACTGGAGAATAAGAAAAGTAAAATTTGAAAATTTGTCCAATGGGATCTGAGAAGAGCAGAGAAAAGTGAGATAAGGGATTCTATCCAGGAGTAAAAGGAAATTAACCATGGTTAAAAATAGTTGCAGGTAGGCCAGGGATTTAGCCCAGTGGTTCTGGCGCCTGCCTTGCAAGCTCAAAGACAGAAGTTCAATCCCCAGTACCAAAAAAACAAAAAAACAAAAACAAAAAAAAAAGTTGCAGGTAAGCTGGGGATTTAGCTTAGCGGCAAAGTCCTGAGTTCTATCCCCGGTACCAAAAGAAAAATAGTTGCAGGTGCCTGTAGTCTCGGCACTCAGGAGGCTGAGGCAGGAGGATCATCATGAGTTCAAGGCCAGCCCGGGCCACATAGGGAGTACTGAACTACATAGCTAGATCCTGCCTCAAACATTACATAAATAAAATTTGACAAGGGAAGAGGTGAGGGAGCTGGATCAGCAGCATCTATTGGAGAAGTGACTTCTAACAATGAGCTGTGTTTGAGAAGAGATGGAATCTTGGGACTCAACTACCAGGAACAGAAACAAGTATAAAGCCCACAGAAGGGTGGAGCCTGAAAAGCAGACAAAGTTAAAACATGAAACCATCCAGCATCTGAAGAGTCACTGGCCTTGAGCGAAGACAACGGTCACTCGACGGTGCCCAGTCACTGAGATCACAAAGAAAATTCCTTCTAGGTGCAAAACCACTTCCGGACCTAGGATGCCTTCCCTGACTTGCCTGTTTGGGGCATCAGCTGCCTTAAACTAAATTCACGCCGTCTTTGAAGATCTTTTTCTGCGATGCAGTGTTTCTTCCTCCATCTTTTTTACACTTTGATGAAAGATGTGCCTGCCTAACCTCAGCTGTGCTGACTCACAGAATGCACACGGACTCTTCTGAGGGACAAGGTGCCCTCCGCCGGGGAAGTCTATTACTCTCACCTTGGCACCTGGGAATTTGAAGAAAGCTCCTGCCTGCTCACAACACAGGAATCAGCAACGTGTTGAAAAACTGCTGCCAGGGCCTGGGATTTAGCTCAGCGGTTCAGTGGCCTGCTTTGCAAGCAAAAGGATCTGAATGCAATCCCCGGTACAGAGCTGCCTGGAAAAGTATTAGGTGACCGCTGTGTCGTTTTTCAGGAACCAGTCAAAATCGGGAGCCCATGACTCTGGCAGAGTCTGTGTGTGCAGGCAGGTGAGCTCTACAAGCCCAGCAGAGACCTGAACAGGTGCCCTGACCCAGCACCAGACTTTTGCCTCGCAATCATGGTGGAGGGATGAGGTGGGGTAAGGGTGACAAAGCCCAAACTGTAGAAGGCAAGAGGTGAAGGCGGCAGCTAGAGAGCACAGGGGGAAGGCGCCCCAGGCTTTGTGTCTCCACTCCTTTTAGAATGTGGCCTTCAGCTGGTGCTTGGTGGGGCTCGCCTGAAATCCCAGCGCTCAGGAGGCTGAGGCAGGAGTTGAAGACAGGCCTGGGCTACAGAGTGAGTTCCAGTGAAATATACAGGAAATAAAAGAAAGATAAGAAGGCAGGGGAGGTGGAGAAGCCAATGAGAAAACAAGACAAAAAAGGGAAAAAATACCACCTGCCTTGCAAGCGCAAGGACCCAAGTTTGATTTCTAGTACCAAAAATGAAGGAAGGAGAAAAATAATTTTAAAATGTAAAAAAAATTTTCTTTTGGTAGCAGGGATTGAACTTGGGTCCTTGTGTTTTTGAGGCAGGAGGCAGAACCACTGAGGTAAATAAATCCCTGGCCTTAAAAATGTAAACTTTTTTAAAAAATTGAGTCAAAGCAAAAAATTCCTGTGTATTTGAATGAGTGATTTCTTTCCAGGATCTGCAGTCTTGGAATCCAGCCAGTTACAATCTGCTCTACCCGGCTTCAGGGCCTGTGGCTTTTAAGTGTGCTCTCCCTGCACCAGCGACCCCTCTGTCCATTTCCCTCAGACTGTGGCTACGTGCAAGCCAAGGTGTGTCCTTGCTCACACTGGGACACGGGAAGAGCAGTCAGCCCTCTGGTCCCTGCTGGGTGTAGGCCGTGGGCAGGGGTTCAAGAGGACTGTCGGGCAGAATCCAAATGCCAGCACTCGCAGAGTCTGGCTGTTCGCTTCTCTCCCCGAGGTGTCATCGCCATCCGGATCAGGTTGGTCAGTCCTCACCTCTGCTGCCCCGGGCCAGTATGAAGCAAGATGTAGTCGGCTTGGAGTTGGCAGACGCAGGCTCTGGGTTTGAATGAGGTGTCCAAGTTGTAGAATTAGAATCCTGGGCTGGAAGAGTCCACTCTGGCCCCTGGGGGAGGCCCTGAGCTGCCTCTCCCTGGCCGGTGTCCCCCGCTGGGGCCCAGTAGTTGGGTCCTTTGTGAGGTGGGCAGGAGCAGAGGGGACCCTGAAGTCAGTGTCAGTAGGTGGTGAGTCTCCCCGGGGGAGCAGCCCCCAGCATGGCGAGTGTGGTCGTGAAGACCATCTGGCAGTCCAAAGAGTTCCACCAGGCTGGGGACACCCCCGCCAGGGTCGAGAGGAGGATCCAGCTGGGCCCCGAGGCTCCCGGGGGCACGACTGGCCCAGCCAAGGGGATCACGAAGAAAAAGAAGGCCGTGTCGTTCCACGGGTGGGTCTGTCACACCTGTCACAGTGATCCTCAAGCCGGTACCCGAGGTCCTGCAGAGCCAGAGGGCCACCGTGGGTACTAGTGGGAGGGAGGGAGGAAAAGAGTCAGGAGAGAGGCCTGTGGGAAGGAGCCAGAAGCGAAGAGGAAGGTGGTGGCCAGAGGGAAGGAGAAAAGTCTGGGGACAACCGAATGTCACTGTGCGGCTGGGACCAGGCGTAAATCCAGCCCTGGCTCTCTGGGTTTGGATCCTGGATTCATTTGCCCACATGCCACCAAAAGTAGGACAAGAGCCCTGAGTACAGAGAGACTCCCCTATAGTCCAGCACTCTGGGAGGCTGAGGCAGGAGGGTTGCAAGTTTGAGCCCAGCTTGAGCAGGTAAGCAAGCAGCTTAGCAAGACTCTGTTTCAAAATTTAAAAAAAAAAAAAATTTTTTTTAAGGGTTGGAGATATACCTCCGTGAGAAGACCCTGGGTTCAATCCTAGGTTCCAGAAAAGGAAAAATGAGTTTATCTGGCCAGATTGGGAGGGTGAATGGTCCTCCTCTCCCCAAGGGGACAAAGTGAGCCCCTGTCTCCAGGTTGCAAGTGTACAGAACCCAAGCCAGGAGCCAGGCAGAGAGTCAGCCAGGCTGTGACCCCAGGGCTGGGAGAGTTAAACTCTCTTTGGAGCCAAGGCTGGGGGTGCAATTTAAACTAACCACGAGGAAGCTGAAGAAACAGCTCATTTCTTAAAAAACAAAATAAAACTCCTTTCAGGTTTTTTGGGACAAGTTTTTGCTATGTAGTCCAAACCGGCCTCAAACTCAAGATCTTCCTGCCTCAGCCTCCTGAGTGCTGAGATTACAGGCGGGCACCACCGCGACGGGCTCCAATCCGCTTTTGTAAAGACCCATTTTAACCTCCCTACAGGGAGACCAGTGAAGGCAGAAGAAAGCAGGCAGCAGGGGCCGAAGAGAGAGAAGCTAGCGGGCCTCGGGGAAGGCGAGAGTGAAGAAAGT